CGGGACGGCGGGCCCCGCGCCAGCACGGACGGTGCYGAAGGGGCCCGGGCTCGGCCGCGGAGCTGGCTGCCACCTCCGAGGCGCAGGCGAGGGGCTGCTCRGGCACCGGGACGGGGCGCTGGGGTCTTGGGACAGGGACACGGCCCCGGGACGGCTCCTCGCGCCCGTCTCAGGGCTCGTACTGCAGGTCTGTGGTGACGAGAGCGAAGCCCTGCGGGAGAGCGGGGTGAGCGGGACAGGGCACGGGCTGCACGGGTGGCCCACGGGGCGCGGTGCAGGGTGTGGGGTGCAGGGTGTGGGGCGGGAGGTGGGACCCTGGTGCGGGACGCACTATTGGGGGGGATGCAGGGCCCGGCACCCACCTCCTGCAGCGTGACGCGGGGCTGCAGCAGGCGCAGGCCGCGCGGGACGGGCAGCGGGAAGCCGGCGCGGAGCTTCCCTGCGAGGAGAGCGGAGGTGTCAGCGGGCTGGGGCGCCGGGGATGCCCAGGGTGCCCAGGGCGTCTGGGGTATCCAAGATACCCGCAGTGCCCAGGATGCCCAGGGTGCCCGGGGTGCCCGGAGTGTCCTGGGTGCCCAGGGTATCCGGGATGTCCAGGGTGTCCGGGATGCCCACAGGGCCCGGGGCGCCCGGCGCGGCCGGCACTCACGGTTGGCCAGCGGCAGCCCAAAGAGCCGCAGCCCGAAGCTCAGCAGGTTCTCCAGGCTCTTCACCTGCGGGACACAGGACCCCGTGAGCCCAGTGGGGACCCRGTGAGCCCAGCAGGAATTCCATGATCCTGGCATCATGCAGGGCAGCATCCGCATTGGAGGGGCTGCCCCCACTCACCTCCAGCGGCCCCACGTGCGACTCCTCCTGCTCCACACTGAGGCTGGAGGGAGAGAGCGGGGTCAGGGGTGGCACGGGGATGGGCACGGGGACGGGCATGGGGACGGGCACAGGAATGGATATGGGGACAGGCATTAGGACCGCATGGGAACAGGCACAGGGGCTGCATGGGGACAGGGGCAGCAGGGAGATGGCCGGCGGTGGAGATGGGGAAGGGGCCCGGGGGTCTCACCCCAGCAGGCTCACGGAGCCCCCGATCCTGCTCGCGCTGAGGACCGGCTTCCCCGTCACGTTGGCATCCTGCAGCAAGCGGAGGAGGTGGGGAGAGAGGGGCAGCATCTGCAGCCCAGCATCGCCTCCAGCATCACCCAGCATCACCCAGTGTCACCCAGTATTGTCCAGCGTCATCCAGCACTGCTCAGTGTCACCCAGCATCCCCCAGTGTCACCCAGCACCACCCCGGGTCACCCAGCATCACCCCCAGTCTGTCCCTGCATCGCCCAGTGTCACCCAGCACCACCCCCAACTTGGCCCCGCTTCGCCCAGTGTCACCCAGCATTGTTCAGTGGCACCCAGCACCCCCTGGTGTCACCCAGCATAGCCCAGTGTCACCCAGTACCATCCCGTGTCACCCAGCATCATCTCCAGCATCACCCAACATCACCCAGTGTCACCCAGCACCACCCAGTGTCACCCAGCAYCACCCCCAACTTGGCCCTGCTTCGCCCAGTGTCGCCCAGCATTGTTCAGTGGCACCCAGCACCCCCTGGTGTCACCCAGCATCGTGCAGTGTCACTCAGCATCACCCTCCAGTGTCACCCAGCATCACCCAGTGTCACCCAGTATTGTCCAGCGTCATCCAGCACTGCTCAGTGTCACCCAACATCCCCCAGTGTCCCCCGGTGTCCCCCAGCGTGGCGCAGGCAGCCTTGGGGCAGGGCCCCCCAGCCCCAGGGTGTCCCCCCGCCGCTCACGATGCGCAGCAGGAAGGCGGGCGCGCGGGTGCCGTTGGGCAGCAGCACGGAGGCCTCGGCGGCRCCGCGCAGGGCCAGGCGCAGCCCGGCCGGGCGGCACCAGAGCAGGGGCTGCCGGCGGGCCCAGAGCACCAGCTCCACRGGCCGCTCCGGGTAGAGCTCCTGCAGCTGGGGGACAAGGGACAGGGCTGGGATGGAGCCGCCGCGGGGACCGGCCGCGCTCCCAGGCAGCCCCTCATGGCACCGGCGGCACCTCGCCCGGCCTGCGAGGTTGGGACTGCATCCGACCAGCCTGCACTGCATCCCGAACAGCCTACACTGCATCCCGAACAGCCTGCACTGCATCCCGAACAGCCTGCACTGCATCCGACCAGCCTGCACTGCATCCCGAAAAGCCTGCACTGCATCCCGAACAGCCTGCACTGCATCCGACCAGCCTGCACTGCATCCCGAACAGCCTGCACTGCATCCCGAACAGCCT